CTGTACTATCCCCGGAACAGCAACGATGGATAGCCAAATTACTTGGCTACGATTATGTCATTAAATACAAGGCAGGGCACACTAACAAGGTGGCGGATGCACTGTCACACCAGCCACAACTATTTCCATTACTTCTCACTGGCCCAACATGTTCCTTCATGGGTCAGCTAAGGGAAGAAGCTGAATGGCACCCACAACTGAGCAAGCTGCGTTCACAGGTCCAAGAGGACCCTACTAGCCACCCAGGGTACACAGTGGAGAATAACTTGCTATTGTATAAACGCCGAATGGTGATACCAAAGGATTCAGCCAATATTCAGCAACTTCTGGAAGTGTTCCACTCATCCCCAGCAGGAGGACACTCAGGGATCCTGCGCACTTACAAGAGACTAGCCACCCAATTCCACTGGAAAGGCATGTGAAATTCGGTCCAAAAGTTCATAGCCGAATGCGTCATTTGCCAAAAAAAAAAGGCGGATACCCAGTCTCCAGCAGGGCTGCTACAACCACTCCCAATTCCTACACAAGTGTGGGCAGATATATCCATGGACTTTATAACGAGGCTTCCCCTTTCCTATGGCAAGTCCTTCATTCTCGTAGTGGTTGATAGATTCACCAAATACTGTCAATTTCTCCCTCTGTCCCACCCCTTTACAGCCTCCATGGTAGCTGAGATTTTTACTAAGGAGGTGGCACAACTGCATGATACCCCTAACTCTATTGTCTCAAACCGCGACCCTATTTTTATGAGTCGTTTCTGGGCAGAACTTTTTCGACTACAGGGAGTGAAACTCTTCAAATCTACCAGCTACCACCCTCAAACAGATAGGCAGACTGAGGTGGTCAACCGGAGTTTGGTAACCTATCTAAGGTGCTATGCAGGGGATAGGCCACGTTAGTGACTAAGTGGCTTCATTGGGCATAATGGTGGTACAATACCACGTATCATAGTGCAACAGGAATGACTCCCTTCCGGGCTCTATATGGACAGGACCCACCTCCCCTACTCCCATATGAGAAAGGGTCTACAGCAGTAGCAGTAGTAGAAGACCAACTCCTCCAGCGAGATAGGGTGTTACAATATCTGAAATCCCACCTGCATCGAGCCCAATAATGGATGGCAGACTCCTACAACATAAGGCCGCCTGTCCAGCACCAGATTGGGTAGCAAGTCTTCCTTAAATTACAACCATACAAGCAAGTTTCAGTAGCAGGCCACCGGTGGAACAAGTTGAGCCCTAGGTACTTCGGCCCATTTCAGATTGCGGAACGCATTGGGTCGGTGGCATACAGGCTTGACCTCCTAGCAACATCAAAATTACACCCTGTATTCCATGTATCCCTATTGAAGAAATGGCCAAAAACAAGGGCAATAACAACAACCACCCTCTCATCATTCTCAGAAGATGGCCAAGTTCAAACTGAGCCCACTCAGACAACAGATTTCAGGTGGACACGCAAAGGGAATTATATCCAACCAGAGGCATTGGTGGTATGGTCAGGTCTCCCAGTTGATGATGCAACTTGGGAACCTTACTTGGATTTACAGAATAGATTCCCACATCTTGACCTTGAGGGCAAGGTCGCTTTCAAGGGAGGAGGGACTGTTGGGACACAAATAAAGGGGATACAGGTGTACAAGAAAAGGCCACGCCAGCGTTTAAAGAATATAACTAACAGCCAACCACTAGAACAAACTAAATAACAAACTAGACAAGTGGACTGGACAAGTGGAGAGGCTGGTATAACAGAATTGTAACAGCAAAATATAAATAAGAAAAGGAAGTTAGGAGGGGATTATGATTTGGGAATACAATATTTCTTTCTCTCTCTCTCTATCCTTCTCTCTCTCATTGAGGAGGCAGGCTCCCTCAAAAGAGTCCCTGAATTAGGCAATTCCTAACATGCTCTTGTTAAGAACAACACATGGGAACTAGTTAACCAGTTTGAAGGGAAGAAACTTGTTGGATGCAGATGGGTGTTTACTATGAAATATAATGTTGATGGTACTGTAGAGAGGTATAAATCCAGATTAGTTGCAAAGGGATTCACACAAGCTTATGGCATAGAATACACAGAAACCTTTGCACCTGTTGCAAAAATGAACACTATCAGGGTTTTACTATCCATTGCTGTGAACTTCTCATGGCCACTATTTCAGCTAGATGTTAAGAATGTCTTTTTCAATGAAAACTTACAAGAGGAAGTATACATGGAGTTGCCCCCTGGTTTTTATAGTACAGAAGTAGGAAAGAAAGTTTACCTTTTAAAGAAGGCCTTGTATGGGTTGAAACAATCTCCGAGAGCTTGGTTTGATAGGTTTAGACTGACTTTGGACAAATTCGGATACATACAAGCTCAGTCAAATGACACTCTCTTCTTTAAGAAGACAGGTCATTCCCTGACTCTACTTGCAGTCTATGTAGATGACATTGTGATAACAGGGAGTGATATTAGTGAAATTGAAACTCTTAAACAGCATCTTCATAAAGAATTTGAAGTGAAAGACCTAGGGGAATTGCACTATTTCCTAGGAATTGATGTAACTCGATCTAAACATGGCATTTTTATCTCTCAAAGGAAGTATGTTTTGGACTTATTGGAAGAAACTAGCAAGTTAGGAGTGAAACCTGCTGACACACCTATTGAACTCAACCATAAAATAAGTGTAGAAAATGGAGAACTTCTTGAGGACAGGGCTATGTACCAAAGGCTGATTGGGAAACTTCTTTATCTCTGCCTAACTCGGCCAGATATTTCCTATGCTGCCAGTGTTGTTAGTCAATACATGCATTCTCCTAGGACCACCCACCTCCTTGCAATAGAAAGGATTATTGCCTACTTAAAGAGATGTCCAGGGAAAGGTATAATCTTAAAGAATAATGGTCACATGAAAATAGAAGTGTATACAGATGTAGATTGGGTTGGATGTGTTGATGAAAGGAGGTCCACCTCTGGATATTGTGCATTCGTGGGGGGAATCTTGTTTCCTGGAGAAGCAAGAAACAGAATATTGTTACTCGCCCCAGTGCATAAGCAGAATATAGATCCATGGCCAATGGTGTTGCAGAAGTGTTATGGGTGAGATCTTTGCTTAATGAGTTGGAAATTAATTATGAGAAGCCTCTGATATTGTATTGCAATAACCAAGCTGCAATTAATATTGCCCACAACCCAATACAGCATGACAAGACTAAGCATATCGAGGTTGACAGACATTTTATCCGAGAGCGAGTTGCATCTCAAGAAGTATGCCTTCCTTACATTGCCTCAAACATGTTTACTCAAGTTGATCTCTTCACCAAAGCAGTCACAAAAATCAAATTGGAAACATATTTACTCAAGTTGGGCATGACAAATATCTACTCCCAACTTGAGGGGGAGTGTAGAAATAGTTAGTAAGCCACGAGTGTGGGGTTCCATACCTACACTTAGGCTCTAGTGTGTGTGGTTCCATACCCACACCTAGTTATTTTAATTCCTTTTTTAAGTTGGGCCGGCTGGCCTTATCCATGTTTTTTGTTTTTGTTTTATTAGGACTAGGATTTTATCTTTTATCTCCTATTTTTGTAAGGAACCAAAACTATATATAATGAAGTGTATGGGGCGGCAATATCAATCAACCAAACCCCTTCTTTCTTTCTCTCTTCTCCTTCCTTCCACTCTTCTTTTCTCTTTCTCTCCCTCCTCTTCGAACCTGTGTTCCTCTTCTCAGATTACAAAGCAGCAGTTCTGTTTTATCCAAGTAATTTCATTCTGTTTTTAGCAAGTTTTTCCTTGTTTAGTAACTTAGTAGCATTTGTCAAGAAGGAAATTATCCTATAGAACTCAAAGAACACATGTATTGTTCCTTCTGATCCATCCATTGTCTCTGAAATTGCTTCTCCTACAGCACTTGCACCAATTCTGAATGGGACTCAACACTGCAATGGCACAATTGTCACAGACCAAAAACAATATCATATTTGGAGATTTGGTAGGAATCAATGTTCTGGCCATGATATTTTTTATGTTTACCAATCAAGGAAGAAAAAGATGGTGGCCATTTGTACAACAAGCACAAAGAAGAAAGACAAAATGAGCAGGAAAAAATAGCTGGCATTTATCATCAGTCAAAAGGGTTAGCGTGTCGGTACCTGAGAAAGAAATTAGAGCATAACGCTATCAAATACCTAGTTAAGCTGTGCAAAGGCTCTTCAAGGAAACACACTCACGTCATCACCACCAATCCTTGTGATGACAACCACAGCTCCAAAAGCATTTGATCTTATCTATTTTCATGTCCTCCTTGTACTAACCTTCAATTCATGTCCTCCAGAATCACCATGAACCATGACAAGCTTATTTATTATCATCTTTTAGGGCAATGCAAGGATGAGGAAGGAGAATCAGCGAGTGTGGTGCACTATGTGGCACCCATGATTGATGGGAGAAAATTGTAGAGGGTGTACAGTTATCAAAAAATAAAATAAAATAAAATTGTAGAGGGTGTTACACCCAAGGGTGGTCAGAGTGCCAGACAAAGTGAAGATAGTGGAGCTGATTGCAGAGTGGCAAAGAAGCTGATCAAGGGTAAATTTGACATTTAAAAAAAATAATGCATTACATCAGCATTTTTGTGTGGAAAACTAACAGAAGGGGGTATTATGCCATTTTTTTAAACATTAGGGGAGGTTTTTGTTAGGGTCAAAACACAGGGGAAGTTCAAGGGATTGTCAGAAAATCCAGGGAAGATTTTTATAATTAACTCATAAAATTTTGAATACATTTAAAATGGCTAGATGTGACAGAGGGGGCAAATATGTCTTTACGCTTGAAATTAGATTTCTTCTTCCACCCAGCCCTAATCTTCATATAGCTGAGACAGTCGAACAACCTGAACTTTCTTGACCACTGGTACGACCAACCCCTGCTTCATTCTTCAGTGAGACAGGTATATCTTCTTATTCCTTTTCTTTTCTGTTAAAACAGGTTATGCTCAGATTAAGAAACATGTACAAACAATTGCTGTTTTTTTATAATTGTACAAACAATTGCTCATTACATAATGTAATGCTTTCTGTTTATTGTCTCGAGCTGAGATGAACAAATTTATTGAAAATTTTGGGAGAAATGCCTTCCTTAATTGTTACCAACAATTACCTTGACTGAATAGTGTAGAAAACCTGTTACTAATTGTATATATCCAGATAGAATCCCTGAAGACCGAGGCTTTAATAATTGATGGATCACTGATTGGACCAGCAGACTATGTGTGGTATAAGGCCATATCAAGGATTTCATGTTGATCAAGGATGGAATAATTTCTTCTTTTGGAAGAAAATTTTGGGGTCACAGTGTGATAAAAGTGGGTTGTGGGCTTATGGCCAGGCCATATCTTCAAAATAAATTTGGCTCCATCCCTGGATTGTTCAAAAAACCCTATTTTTATCAGTTCAAGGATTTGTTTTGATACCTAACATTTGTTTTGAGGTTGAACGGTTTTTTTGAGATGGTACTATCAGTTCAAGGATGTGCAGTAAAGTTGTGGCTCCAGAGCCCATCATCATTGGGAATACAATATTCTGTGCTTGCCCTAAGGCTACAAGAATGTGGCCACTGTTAGCCCAGTTGAGGGAGAAGGGAATGCTGACAAGTAAAAGAACACATATTGCCCTCTACAGATATATTCCAAGCATGTGGTGCTGTTTTGCTCCATAAGACTGATCACAAAACGACATTATCCATGGAGGAAACAGAGTTTCTTGGGTTTCTAGAGGGATATGTAAACTGAAAATTTACGTATTTGTTATTCTCTACTCGAAACTGAGGAGATCACCATTAAGATGGGAATAATAAATCTTGCAAAATATGATTAAACAATAATTGCTATAAGGTGGACGAAAATAAAATAAAATTTGGAAAACAACGGTAGGAAAAAAATAAAATAAATCCCAAGAATAATAGCCTCATAGACTCTATGTCTGATAATTTGTTAGACAAAAAGTTACAACATCTCATTAGCAAGTTTCCCTTTAGGCTGCATTTATTTCTGAGCAAAATGGGTACAAAGCAAAGCTTCCCTGTAAAAGGGGCATAAATATAGCTGACATATTTCAGAGTGAAAACTTTTCTTCACCTCCTCTGATGAACAAATGGAACCTTGACGATGGGAAAAAATAAATTTATCAACAAGGCTGTGAAGGAACCTTTTTTTCTTCAAAAGAAACTACAAATGTTTTTTAACTGATAATAATCAAACTTATTGATTAAAACTGCAAGTGTTTTAATTTGGGAGTAACATATTTCTCTGAATTTAAAGGCATTCCCATTTCCGTGCCTTTACTTACTAGTGCTCCCTGGTTTGATTTTTAAAGAACTCAAATTTACACTACAAACTTTTATTCAGTTCAAAACGGAAAATAAAGGGTAATAAAAAATCAGATGAGAACACTCCCATTGAGTTAGAGATGAGAATACTACCATGTTTATCATTCATTCATTGACTTGAAGAAGAAAAGTTTACAATCCTTTGTTTCTTTTATTGTTTACAATTCTTCGTTTCTTTTATTGTCCAGAACTTGGATATGGTAGGATTCTGAAAATGTACTCAATAAGAGGGTTCTCAAGAATCCAGCATTACCACTGACCTATGAACCTTTTTTTTCCAAACATTAGCCAGAAAATGGTTCAAATAATGCAGTTAGATCACTTTTAGGTCATAGAAAATTCCTACCGGTGCTCAGATTGAACAATCAGTTGAAAAACTTAAGATCGATTAACAAAATTACAGACTGAGATGCCGGATCTGCAACCTGCGCTTCATGGGATGGAATCCACTCAACTCCAGTAGCATACCAACACTGCTACCAGAGTCAGCTATGTCCCTTGTGCAGTTCTGCAATTCTACTCAGATCTGAACAAAAGAAAAGCATATTTTCTGAAAATAAAATTCGGTCATGTTGTTGAAGACATGCTATTCGTCCCTTTTACCGTTTTTTAGGGATGAAAATCAGAGTTTAACCATGAAACAGGGGAAAACATATATTGATTCTCAAACAAAACATCTGGGAGACAAAAAAGAACATACCAATCCATCTGAAACACCAACCTGCTGCGGTTTCGACCGCTGGAACGATTGCCGCCGCTGGTTCAGTGAGAAGATGAAGGAGACGATTAGAAGTCGCAGTGAGAAGATGAAGGAGAATGGTAGAAGTCGCAGTGAATGGAAAGAGAACATTCCACCATGAATGAAATCTTACCTCAGTGTTCGCCAAAGGGAAGAATTCGCCGCTGGTTGCAGAGAGCACTGGAGAAGATGGTATCGATGGGCCAAACCCTAGGCTTTAGATTCGATTCATTCGAATGGCATTAATGGTATTATAAAAAATTATTGGAGACAATTTTGGTAACATATAAAAAAAAAAGCTGGAATTTTTTGGCGTAATATACAAAATCCTCCCCCTGAATTTTCTGACAATCATAAAAACTTTTTTTATAGTTTTATTTTAGCAAAAGCCTCCCCTAAACTTTTAAAGATATCGACAAAAACTTTCCCTCTGTCTGTGCTGAGAATTACGAAATTGCCTTTGATTAATTGTCAGCGAGTAAATAAAATATTTGAATTGCCCATGCTTCCCCTTCCTATCGCAATAAAAGGGAACGGTATGAAATCCTTCCCCCATCTCCCCTTACTGGTTTACCTCTTCTTCTTCTTCTTCTCTCTCTCTCCCCCCTTCGTCTCCACTCTTTCTAGTCGATTGAGTCGGAGCAACCGATGCACCTAGATTAACAGAAATGATGAATAATTTAGGAGAAGAAAGGACTCAGAAGGAATGATTCATATACCTAAAATTACCAATTCTGTTTCTAATGAAATGTACTGACAGGCATAATGCAGATTTCTTATTTTTACTGTAGAGTTATAAACATTTAAAATGTCAACAATCCACACTTTATGCACTAATGTTCGCCTGTGAATTGGCATCAATTCCGAAGTGGAACCTATCCCAACATTACGTTGGGCCTACAAATTCTACCCCTGGGTTGAACCGTCATTCTCCTTAAAATGTATTGTAATTGAGGTGATTGACCGCAAAAATCTACTATTTGCACAATTTCTTATGAAAATCAAGAAGCAAGACAACCAATTTCGACTCAAAATCGGTAAAGGGTAAACTCAATAAACCCTGAAAAACAATAACCAAATTAACTTGAAAGTTGAAACCCACGAGAGATGCAGAAAGGAAAGCAGGAAAAACACACAGACAAATGGAGAGAAAAGATGACTCCAACCTGAACTAGAATCGAATTTAAATTTTATAAATTAGGGAAACGACAAACGAGATAATGGAAACCAAATCATGCGTCGACCTGATTCGGTAGGGAGAGAGATTGAGATAAGGGAAAAGCTCCTCCTACAATTGATCAGGTGGTTCCCAGAGGTCCGATCTGTGTCGCTCAAGGGGAAACTGCATTTTGCTGATTTCAATCTCGTGCTGGAGGAGTGGGGAGGGTATGTGTACCCTTGGATCTCGGCCATGGCTGAAGCTTACCCATGGTTAGAGGAGCTAAGGTTGAAGTGCATGGTGGTGATTGACAAGGCGTTGGAACTGATCTCACGTTCACTTAAGAATTTTAGTGTTTTGGTCCTCTCGTATTGTGAGAGTTTCACTACTAATGGACTCGCTGCCATTGTTGCCAATTGCAGGTTCTTTTTCATTCACTACTCATTTCTGTTACTTTGTGTTGGGTGGCAGCTTGAAACTAATTTCTAGTAGGTTTAGCTAAAACCTTAAGTTCTCATGAGAGAATGAGAGAGCTTCAAGGAGGCTGCTGCTGACAGTTGCTGAAAATCTATTCGCTGCCACCGTGAAGAAAATGAACAGTGCCTTTCAGTTATTCCAACTCAATGGAAGAGAGTGGGAATAGTGGGGACAAAGAAGAAGAAGAAGAAATTAATGAAAAAGAAAATAGTGAGGGGAGATCGGGGGGAAGGATTTCACACCATTCCCTTCTATTGCGAGAGGAAGGGGAAGCAAGGGAAATTTAACATTTTGAAATATTTTATAATTTTATCAGTTTTCTTTCTAAATCACTGACGGAAGGGAGGTTTGTCGAGATCTTTAAAAGTTCAAGGGAGGTACTTGCTGAATTAAAACTAAAGGAGAGGTTTTTATGATTATCAGAAACTTTAGGGGAAGATTTTGTAATTTACCATTTTTTATTAAAAAAAAAAACTGAAAATTTGAGCTTAAAAAATGAGCAATGGCTGAACATAGCACTCCTAAACACCAATAAATGCTTAATAGTGTGGTCCCAACCTAAATAAGCACTTCCAAACATAGCCTAAGTTTGACTACGCTTAAAAGTGGACAAATTCCAAAATACCCTTTTTCTTTTGTTTTGACAAATACTGCTTGAGCATTGCCTGAACATCATAGGCCACTAAAGCAGATAGCCAAGGGGGACAATCTAACCAAAAGGTCCAAAACTACCTTGATCCCTCATTCCCCTCTTGGCAAGTACGTGAACCACCTGATTAGCAGAGCACTTATTTAAGGAAAAAAGATTCAAAAGATTTAGCCAGCATATAAATGTCTTTTGAAATATATATATATATATAAAGAAAAAGACCTCCATCGGCTAGTCCTATGAATCAATTTTAAACCTGTTATTGATTATCTGATTCGACTATCACCTTCTTGAACCTTGTATGCCCCACCAAGAGGAGGCCTTGATACATTGCCATAGCTTCAGCTTGAAGAGCCGAAGTAACAACCACATGACCATAACTATATAGC